TTAGTTTCAAAATTTTGGTAGGTAGGGATGAGTGAGAAAAAAACATATGCAGGTTCACATGATTGCTCTCTCTCTAAGAAATATCTCCATTGTTGAGACCATGCAACCAATTCTATTAAAAATGTCATAGCTCCTTTCATCTGGAAAAAGCAATCTGGATTAAAAAGAAATGGCAGGAGATCCCCACCTCTAGAACTTAGACGAGAATGGCTTCTAACATCATATCTGATATCTGTGTAAAATAAAGAGAGAAAAGATGTCAGGATGCCTGAATAGCAGTTGGAAAGAAAAAGGATTTTTTTCAAGTCCTGCAGGGCTGTTTGTTGTTGAACTTAAATCCTTTTTTAGAAGCTGAAAATGTGGTTTTGTATGCTCTGCAAAATTAGAGATGAACTTTTGGGGGAAATTTGCAAAGCTTAGAGAATGCTAAACATCCATCACATTTCACATTCTGTATGTTGTACTTTGGTATTTCTTGTATTTCTGCAAGATCCATTTCTATGCCTTATGTATGTATCTAGTAACCCAAAAAATCTAATTAAGGAAAGTCAAATGCACATTTTTCCAGTTTAGCAAAAATTATTCTGTTTGCAGAGTCCCTAACATTTCCCAGCTCTATTCTAAATATCAATGGAATTCAGCATGTTCCCCATAGCTGCTTCCAACAAAGAAGCATAGATATTATAAATGCCATGTAATAGAACATCATGTGCAGCAGGGCCAGGAAGACTAATCTTAAAAATAAACTTGAGTGGGCCCAGAATAATTCCTCTGTTGTTGTAGTTACATTCAATATCAGCAAGGCCTCAAGAAGAGAAAAGAAACACATTAACATCTGTGGCTACATCTCAACTGGTGAATTTCCTTCTCACTTTGTTCCTTCATAATAAGAACCTAGTATATGCAGGGTATTTATAGAACCAAAGTTGTTGTTTTTTTTTAAAAAAAAAACCAATACGGAAGGATATGGTTAAAGGATCGGCTGCACTCCCTTTACTTTAATGAAGAGAACATTAACTTTCTTCATCTCACAGTCATTGGGGATGAAAGGTTTCACAGGTGTAAAGAAATAGCTAAAAAGTAGGATATAAATTCTTTAGTCCTCTGGAAATTTCAAAAATTAACAAAACATTCACTTCCATCAAACATTCTTCCTGCACATCTCCATTCACTTACCTGGGTTTACACAAGACTAAGTCATTGGGACACGAATTGTAAAAATAAAGTCTGATAGCTTGAACAAATGAGATATTTTGAACAAAATCTGACATGTGCTCAGTCATGCTTAATTCCTTTTCCATACACTGTAATTTTTTCCCACATTGAATATGATTTTCACTTTAATTCATGACGCTCCAGAGCTTATTTCAAAATCCTCTGAGTGCCTAACTTCTTACACTTGGATTAATTTTGATCAGTTTCAAAGACTCTAAATGGGTGAACATTTTGATTAAGTCAAAGTTTGTTTAGCTATGATTTCTTGAATAAATCACAATTGGCTGAGCTTAATGCCATGTTTTTAAAAAGGAACACACTAAGCCCCAAATATGAATCACATCATGCTAAACAAAACCAAACCAAGCACATTATGAATCAACAGAGAACCCAGCAACTGGTAGTCTGCTAGATTATGCAAGTATTCACCACTAATGGCTTTGTTGTCTTAGACTTCATATTTCAAAATTACATTCCATGGTTTTTTTTTTGTTGTTGTTGTTTTTTTTTAATTAGATTTATATGCCGCCCTTCTCCGGAGACTCAGGGCGGCTTACAGTGCGTTAAGCAATAATGGTTTAACACTTAAAAGTTTTGCACTTGTATCAGAACCACCAAGGCGCTCCTGGGTTGAAAGGATTAGCCGGTGATATCACTGTTGCCTGGGGGATGCCCACTTGGGGGCTCCTTTCATGTCCCTAGCAGGAACTGAAGAGAAGGACGGGAACTCAACCCTGCTCCACGGCAGCATTTGGGTCTTGAACATGGGCTTGCTAACTTCCATCCCAGCATCCAAACAACACAATGTGCCTTTTAATACTTAATGAAAGAAAACCTGGATAGCTCAGCAGACTAATGCATTGTAATTTAACTCCAGCTGTCTGCAATTAGTAAGTTCGAATCTTGCCAGGCTCAAGGTTGACTCAGCCTTCCATCCTTTCTAAGGTAGGTGAAATGAGGACCCAGATTGTGGGGGCAATAAGCTGACTTTGTATAAATATACAAAAGGATGAAGGCTATTGCTTAACGCATTGTAAGCCGCCCTGAGTCTCCGGAGAAGGGTGGCATATAAATCAAATTAAAAAAATAAAACAAAAAACCATGATTTAGATCTAATTCCCTGAGAAAAGGGCAGAAAACGAAAACGATTGTCTTATATAAATTTATTTTTACATGTATTTTAGCAAGTTCTAGAAATTTAGTGTGCCGTTCTGAGTGAGTGATTAATATAAATTTCAGAAAAAAACAGTGAACAACACAACATCATCTTACTGTTTCCACTTCTGGATTGTCATGTGATCATAAAGTACATTTTCTCAATTCACACCAAACCATAAATTTAACTTAAACATGCATTTTGTTATTACCTTATTCTGCATTTCCTATCTTTTTTTATGTCCAGCTCCATTTTAAAGCATTTTTTTTTACTGATGGTTTTAGACCATCAGTATTTTGTTGAGATTTATTTCTGTGTTCCCATTATTCAGAAAATTACTTACTGTTTCCATGGATTTTAATAACGTCATTATACTATAAGAATTTAGTTCTATTATCATGTATTTCTAATTGCTTCTGTTTCTAATCTTAGTGAATTTACTTGAAAAGCTCAGGAGTATACTATGTATTTAGCAACCAAAAGTAATAAGCTCAAAATTCATGACTAAAAATTGACAATCAAAACTGAGATTAAGACCAATTCTTTACATTTGGTATTTTTATTTATTTATTAAAATTCTACACTCACCTAAGTGACTTTTGGAAGTTTACCACAGCATATGCTAATATAAACAACAGCACACATATGCATGGAGTTATAAACTTCATTTCTGAGAACACTTACCATAGCCTATAGTTACTTCTGTGCAGTTCAGTGAACTTCAGTTGAAGGCAAAATAATGCCTTTAACAATGCAGCTTGTAGTAGAGGAATCAATGGGTTTAGTGTATCATTTATTCATTTATTTGTTCCCAAGCCTTTCTATGTTTAAGTCAGCTAGTGTGTTTGCTTAGGTTTCTGTCTATAAAAGAGGGACAATAATTTTCTCTTCTTACATAAGAGTTATTGTGAGAATAATTTACTCATTAGTGTGCAATGTTCTGAAGATAGGATAAGAGGCACAAATGTGCAAAATAATTTGAATATAAGGAAATGCCAGCACTCTAGGACAGGTTTCCTTACCAGGTGCTTTTCAGGTATTTTGAGTTTATTTATTTATCTGTCTACCTATTTGTCTATTTATTAGTTAAGGTCACAAAATTCAAGCAATGAGACTCTGGGCAGCATACAACAGTAAAAACAAATAATAAACCAGTATTAAAACATACAGAATAAATAAATATAAAATACAAAATACAACAGTAGTGACCAATCATCATAACACAACATTCAACTGGATGTTGTTCTAATTCATGTCCTTGGGAGAAGGCCAGTTAATCTGGTTTTATACTATGTAGGATTTTAAAACTGACAGCACAAAATAGTGGTATTACATGGGCATAATGAAATGGGCTACTGAAAATTCCAGATGATCTTCAACAACTGCCTTATTTGTATGTTTGTTTAATGTTTATGCCACATGATTCCTTGCACCTCGCATAGAATATATTCCAGTGGTCCAATGGGAAAGTAACTAAGGCATGAGTGACTACCTTTGGTTCAGGAATAAATGCAACTAGTACACAAGGCACAGTTGTGCAGAGACCTTATAGCTGTGACTTGCTCTTCAGGCAGGAACTGTGAGTTCAGGAGAATCACCATATTTCACATGAGGTCTGAAAGATGGAAAGCCTCCAACTCCCAGATTTGGAGATTTGAAAACCTCTCCCCATTTAGTCTTAGCAGGGTTAAGACACAATCTGTTCTTGCTATCCAGATCCTTAGAGCCTCTAGACACTGATGTTGCAGAGATGTTTTACTGGATTTAATATGCATATCGATCATTCCTTGCCCTATATGGATAAAACAAATTACTATCCCCTGCAGCTTCATGTGGATTTGGAAAAGCAGAGAGGTGGGGTAAAGTCCTGAAGCACCCCATAAGGCAGGCTGAACTGTTCTCCTCCCACTAATACCAATTGAGAACCGCCTCAGAGAAGAAATATCTCAGAATAATGCCCCCCACTTCCCAACCTCAGTCAAACCAGAATGATATCATAGTGGATGGGAATGAAGGCCAGCAAGAGATCAAGGACAGTCAGAATGGATGCACCATCCTCATTCTGAACTCACTACAAATCATCAACCGAAGCTGACTCCATATTATATCCTAGTCTGAATCCTGTCTGGGATGATTATCCATTTTCACCAGGGTCTTCTGAGGCTGGAGTCTGACCACCTTCTCCAAACTTCCTTAAAAAGGGAAAGTTGGAGACTGGATGAAAATGTTCAGATTAGCTGGTTCCCTGAGGAAGGAACTCTTTCAGAGTTGGCAGAACCACATACACCCCTCTTTCAAAGATATATTTATCAATGCATGGAGCCACCCATATGCTCCCTCCTTGCAGGGATCTAATACACAAGTGGCCATATCTACAGCCTAGGGATCCTGTCTACTTCATTGAATGCTCAAATTCTTCCCAGATAACATCAAAAGCCTAGAGGAGATTGGCTCTGACTTGGCTTCCTATGAATTAAAACCACCAAGCCGATTCCTAGAGAAGATTGGCTTCTGCTTGGCTTCCTGTGGGTTAAAACCACCAAGCTGATTCCTAGAGGAGATAGGCTTCAGCTTGGCTTCCTGTCACAGGAAGCCAAGCTGAAGCCAATTTCCTCTAGGAATCTAGGCCGTTTTAACCCACAGGAAGCCAATCCAAAACTTTTTGTTTTGGGATTGACAAGAACTGCACCTTCTTTGCAGAGTCATGAGAAAGTGTAGGATAGTTCTTCTTTTCCTTTCTTTCACTGTAAAGCCTGTTCTAGTTTATGGCTGCAATCAGGACCACAGTGAAAAGGAGTATTTTAGGATGCTGCATTTGAGTGACTGTCTTTAGTATTTCATTTTCTTTTTCATCCTCATAAAGGGCCAGGCTGGGTATGCCTCATAAATAATGGGACAGTGGGACAAAGGAAATAGTGAAGATCAGCTGGTGTGATGCAATGCAGAGCAGCAAGGGCAATGGAGCTGGGGCGTCTGAATTGGGGCTTCCCATGTATTTGGCTGCTCATGAAGGGTGATTCCTTTGCACTGTAGTACATCATTGGAGCCTCCTGGGCTTTTGGAACTTCTCAGAAGACAGCTGCTACTCTGTGGAAGCTTCTTAGGCATTTGGACCTTTGTGTATGTGGGAAAGTGTGCATCCTATGCTTTGCCTCTCAGGGCTCCTGCCCAACTGAGGCATCCTCATGTTTCTTATTTGGAACCCCCTCTGCTTAACAAATCACATGATTGCTTAATGACTGCAAGAATAATTGCCAGGATTGCAATCGTTGAATAAAGTTATCATGTGATGTATTGCTTAGTGACTGCTTTGCTCAATGACCAATATTCTAGTTCCAATTGTGATCATTAAGCAACAACTACTTGTATAACTTATTGCACTCATAAATACGTAGGTATGCAAACATTAACAGGTCTTGTGTACATTTTGTATAGTGTACATTTATAGGTGGAAGTTAAGACGCTGTCTTTGGATGTCATCATGCTTAAGAAATACATATTGAGCATTGAAACATTTTTGTCACAATATCACAGACAAACTGTGATAATAGAATAGCGCAAATGTATTGTAATATTATATAATGAGGTACAGCTGTTCTTGAAAAGTGCCTGAAAACTGCAGTTGATGCAAAACGTAGCAGCCAGACTGTTGTGCTATTATAAAAAATGGGGGTGAGAAAGAAACTCAAAACAGGTCTGCCTTGACTGTGGTAGGCATAATTTGAAGAAGAGAAGGACTTCACAGTCATCTAAGATTTTGTTGTAACACCGTAACCTTTAGAGTACATTCCAAGACGTTTAGTTACTCCTGTTTCCTTGCCTTGCCTACTTTGAAAGGCTGACAGTTCATGGTGCAGGGTTCAGGTTATTTAAAGATATGTCAATTTACCAATTGTGTATCATACAACTGTGTTAGGTGCTGGTATTAATCTTTAAAATCCTAAATGGTTTAGAGTCTGGTTCTCCATCTCTCCCATTATAAACTTGATAGGTTGTTTAGATCAGTGACAATGATCCTTTTGAATACGTTTCCACTACCAGAAGCTCTAGTATTGGTATGGAGGAATGAGTCTTCTCCCAAATAGCTCCAGACCATGTGGAAAAAGGTATTTGGCACTCTCCCTGTATTTAAAAAGATGCTAAATGTTTCAACAACCTTTTAATTATTATTTTAATAACTGAGTTTGATTTTTATTTCAATTGTGTTAATTGTGTAGTAATCTTTGTTGTGGTGGTGGTTTGATACTTTATTTTTAATTGTTGTAAGCTGTGTCTTAGATAAAACAAATAGAAAGAGCATATAAATAAATAAAATACACATTGTGTTAATGCCACTTGGAAAATTTCTACGTACATTACTGGGAGATGTGTTGCCCAGCCTACAAATGGTGCAAATACTGGGAACGAATGGCTGATTTACTGTGACATGACATTTAATCAGGGATGGAAATGTTAATGGTTTGGAAAAAGATATTTGACAGAAAGAGAGAAAAATTATTTTGGCCTTAAAATAGAAAGACAATTTTCTTCCTTAACACCCTCTTTGCAGTTGAAAACCTTAGGGATATGTCAACACTCCAGATGCACCATTTAAAATAAAACATTCTTCACTGACAATCAGCTGGGAAACTTGAACTTCCCCAGATTTCTTTTCGATTTTCATTTTCATTACAAGGGGGAAACAAATCTTAATATCCCTATTCTATGCTTATAGCACACTAAGCCCTCTTCTTATCTTCTTACAGCTCAGTCCTGATTTATTGTCATGATACTGCATTTATAAAACAGACCCATAAACTACAGAACATTTCCCAAGGACTATTCCAAAATAAATTATTTCATATGTAAGATGCTTAATAAATCCCTTTCTCCTCATTTCTTTGGATATTTTAGAAACTGATTTATATGTGCAATATCTTTTCTCAAAAATGAGACAATCAATGCAGAATAAAATTATCATGTTATGAAAATAGGGGTCAGGCATTGGGTCTGTGCTTTAAATTAAACTGAGAGGGAAATATCTTTCATATGAAATTGACTCTTTTGTCTCAGAAATGAATGGTTTAATCAACTCGGCTGAAGAGGAGCATAAAGTAATGTTTGATTTCACACAAAGGTATCTGTTGAGTGGGAGATGGCCATGACAGAGTAAGTATTAGTGGAATCCCTTCAATTAGACACAAAGAAATTGAATATCTGAAAATGTAGGGGACTTTAGTAAAGGGGTAGGACGAATTTCTCACGGTTTAAACTCTATTATTTATTGCTAATATTTACAAGCAATTTCTCTCTTTCTATTTCTTTTTCCAGAACATCCTGAACACTACCCTTCTTCAAAAAATGTTATTAATAAATGAAGCATTTTTCCAAGATATGATCTATAAAGATATATGTATGTATCCATGTATCTATGTATATTTGTATATTTATAATTTGGTTGCTACAAATTTGGTGAACTCCTACCATCTATTCTTAAATGTAGGTTAGACTAAGAGATAAGATCTCCGAATACCAGCCAGAGAAGTCAAAGTTTCCCATACCATATTAGCATATGGTCAGCATATGCTAATAGGGGAAACTTTTATTTCATTTGATAGATTAGAATTATTTCATGCAGGGCTATTTTGCTATTCTATTTCTACTCATTTCTACACTATTATTTTATTATAATTAATTATTAGTCACAAAATATTAGGGAAGTGGAATTTAAATGTTTTAAAGAAAAAAATATGAATCTAAGTTAGCTAGATTCTCTGAAGCCATAATCATTAAGTTTTTTCATACACTAAACCTGTAATTTCCATATTGCTTATTAAAACACAACTAAAGTTGATATAACATGTATTTTTTTCTTATCTTAGCTCTGGACAAGCTCTTTAAAAAATTCTGTTCCAGACCCATCTTTTTCTTAAATTTAACAAATTATTCCTATGCTGCTACTTTATGCAAAAGAGTAACATCTAATCCAAAGGTTGCATGTTACAGTAATTCAAACTTTTTATTTTAGACTATTTTGAATATACAATAGGACTTGAGCTTGCTTTTTTAGTATTTCAATCATTGCCAATTTATCCTAATTTTATTTTGCCAGCCGAAAAAACTTGATAGACGTGACTGGGGATGAAAAATGCACAGTTCCGATCCATTCTAAAGGCCTGTGTTGTTTCTGTTTTGTCAGTGTTCTTTTTATTATTTCTAGGCTATTCTGCTGAGGTACTTCATTCTCAGACAACAGTCTTATAATACCTTGTAAGAAAAGAATAAGAAATAAGAAAAAATATCTAAACTGAAATTATTTGTATAGTATTTTCCAAATATCAAATTAATTGTCCATTGTTCAGCATATCACTTAAGCTACTGAGAAAATTCACTTTCTTGATCATAAAGTAACTAAGATTAATGTGATGGTATAAATATATATATACTAACCAGTGTAGTACATTGGTTAGGATGCTGGACTAGGAACAAAGATATGACAGTTCTAGTTTAGACATGGAAGCTGGCTGAGTGATTTTGGACTAGTTATTCCTTTTCAGCACTAGACTGAGAAGTGAAAAAAAAATCTATCTACCAACTAGCACTGAACTAACATGGTAGAATTTAGTCCATAATTAAATTCATAGAAGGCTTTATTTGTATGCGTGTTGTTATTATGTTAGCAAAACAATATACAAGATCACAGATTAACAAAAAATATCTGGGTTAGCAAAATGGAAATATTCAGTTACTTAATGGTGATTCTTAAAATAAGCCATGGGCTCTGCACAGAATTAAGAATCTTCATTTATCATAGTCAAGAACATCTTGAATTTTAAAAACTATCAAATCCAAACAGATTTTTATCTCAGGAATAAGTAGAAATTGATGTCCCCTCTTCTAAATTGTATTCCATTATATCTGGAATAATCATATAGAAAGGTAGAGTTATACAAAATGAAGTACAATAATAGAAAAAAAATATTACTCACGGTAGGTAGCTGACTAGACAGGAGATGCCCATCTTGGCTCAACATATTAGATACCATGATAGCAGGCAGATCCATATTCTGGTAGGAATATGCTGGTATCAGGCTATTTGGGGGGAGACTGTGGCACAGTGAATGATATCCAGTTTCATGATCCACCAAGTGAAGGAGGGATGGATCAGGGAGATTAGGAGGAGTAATAGGAGGGATTTCATAATCTTCATTATTTTCATTCTGACCATTGTATGTCTAAAATAAAAACATAACAAAAGATAGTTTGACAACTTCTCATATTTTTTTTAAAAAAACCCATACTTGTTTCTCCAAAAGCTATTTAGTACAGGTAATCCTTGTTTTAGGACCACAATTGAACTCAACATTTCTATTGCTAAGCTAAGTGAGACAGTTTTAAGTGAGTTTTGTCCCATTTTATGACCTTTCTTGCCACAGTTTTCAAGTGAATCACTGCACTTGTTAAGTTAGTTTCATGGTGATTAAATGAATTTGACTTTTTCATTGACTTTGCTTGTCAGAAGGTTGCAGAAGGTGATCACATGACACTGCAACGGTCATAAGTACATGCTAGTTGCTAAGAGTCCAAATCTTGTTCACATCACTGTGGAGATGTTGCAAGGTCATAAGTGTGAAAAATGGTCATAAATTAGTTTTCAGTGCTGTTGTAACTTTGAACGTTCACTAAATGAATATTTGTATGTCATGGACTAGCTGTAGTGGACAAAATTTATATACATTTTTTCCATTCAATACTGTTTTGAATAATGTGGAATCTCAGTTCCTTCAATGCAATGACTGTTTAAATTTGAGATATATTTATAATAATATAAAGGGCTATATTATCTGAGTGAGTAAAATGGGCTGTTGACTGTTACTCATTTTTAATTAAATATTAATATATACAATAACTTATGTATTGTAACTATTTAATACAATAACTTATTTACTAAATAATACCATAATTTAAGCAATCATGCGCATCATTATGAGAAGTGACAACTGATGGAGAACGTATGACTTTAAATAATAGTATATTTTAAGACTCCTTGTTCTTTGATTCTGCCACATACAGTAAGCTACTGAGGTCTGGAAAAGTTTGAGCAAGAATTCTGAATACTGTGATAACCAATGAGTTGTGTCATTTTTTAGTTGCTCAGAGAATGACCTAAATTTGGCAGTTCTTGATGCTCTGAATCAGCAGAATACTTTTGAGCTGAAGAAAGATTTAATTCTGAGATATTTAATTTAAGTTGCATTGGGCTTTTATAACCCAAACTAGCTTCTTTTGGTCTTTTAGATGAATACCTCCTTATTATAAGGCCAGATATGTACATAAAGATTAAAAGATATGGTGGATAAGAACATGTAAAATGACAAAACCTGGATCCACTAGGTATATAAAGGGAGAGAAGATCATTAGAGCAACCTGCAGAGAGAGGAATTACATCAGATTTGCTTCAGAAAATGTCGCAGCAACTGTCCAATAACCTAGCTGAATCATTTGGACAGCTTTTGAAAAAAAGAGATTGGATGGAAGACATGTAGGGATGAAAGAGGAGATGAAAGAAGTTATGGGTGGAAGATGGAAAGCTCAGTAGAATAGGTGTCTGGGGATATAAAACAAATTAATGACAACATGGAAACATTGGAGAGTAAGGCATAAGTTATAGAGTGAGAGTTAGAAAGAGAACTAGATGATCTGGGTGTATTTGAATTGAGAGAAAAGAAATTTTGAATGAAATTAAGATGAATCACACAGGATTCTACTGAAGATATTAGAGAATAATTACTAAAGCTGTGGTAATTTTTTTAAAATTGGGATTGGAAGAAACAGAAATCAATAAAGTATACAAAATAAATATAAGGTTTGCAAGACTAAGAAATATTCCAAAGTTTTGGTGCAATTTTTCAGGAAGAAGACAAGGGATCAAGTTTTGAAGTAGCTTTTTAATAGAAGACTGAAGATTAATAATAGATTAATAATACTGGTTGTTTTGTTTGTAATTATTTAATTATATTTTTTCATAAGAGAAAAGTTTTTTTTCTTTGATGAGAGACTAAAGCAGAAAAAGATTCCATTTCTATGGGACAAATTGGAAGGTATAATTTTTACTTTTAAGCAGCAGAGGTTTCAATTGAATTCAATCCAAAAGGGAAGAGAATTTCTAGAAAAGCAATACCTAATTGCGGTATCAGAAGAGATTACACAAAAACTCTAACAGGTGCAACAGGAAACTGAAAAGGATGATACTGAACTAGGCGCTGTAGATAATGTTTTTTTGAAACTTTTTGGTTTGATTATGGCTTACAAATGCTTAACTTGAAATATAAATGGAGCAAATGCTCCTCAAAAAGGAAGAAATCATTATTTGAAAAAAATTAAGATCTAATTTGCTCACAAAGGACACATTAGAAAAAAAAAGACATAAGATATTGATTTATAAAAATTTGGGTGAATAATTCATTTCAACAGGAAGAAAAAAAAAGAAACAGAGTTGTTTTGAATATAAATCGGGGTGAAAAGCTACCAGTTCGTGCTGGTTCAGGTGAACCAGTAGTGATAAAAACTACCAGTTCAGGTGAACCGGTAGTAAAAAAAAAAAAGCTACTTGTTTGGGCAAACAAGTAAAAAGCTACCGGTTCAGGTGAACCATTAGTTCCAAAAACCTACCGGGAACTGGTATTTCCAACGATCAGCTGTGCCGTGAGGTTTAAACCCCGCGGCACAGTTGATTCCCCCCCCCGCTGTTCTACTTACCTTCCCAAGCCTCCTTTTGGCGCGTACAGCTGTGCCGCGGGGTTTAGCTTTGCTAGAAAGCAGGAAATCCTGCTTTCTAGCAAAGTTAAATTGCGTGGCACAGCTGATCTCCCCCCCCACTGTTCTACTTACCTTCCCAAGCCTCCTTTTGGCGTGTACTGTGCATGCGCTCACGGCGCACATGTGGTGCGCACTGTGGATGTGCACGCAGTGCACATTTGGCACCCAGCGCGCATGCACGGCCAGAAAAACTGGTAGCAAACCAGTTTGGACTTCACCACTGATATAAATCCCCAACTACAACCAGAACTTGTATTGATTGAGGAGCATGGTGGATGTTGGGCTGGAATTTACTTTGAATGGGATTAAGACTTTGATGCTGCGAAATTATGCCTTAAATGCAAACATGATTTGGATTTTAAAGAACTTGGCTATTAAGGCTTCTGAAGTAGAGCTATTACCAAAGACATTAATCAATGATAATACTGTCAGTTTGGTTTATAAAAGAACATTTAGTTCTTTTTGATGGAGACTAAATTAAAAATTGCTACAGAAAGACGCAATGGTGGAAAATTGTAAATTGAAATTTAAACATTTTTTTGAAAATAATTTAGGTATACTGACTTAAAATGGTTTGGAATGAAGGTAAAGTTTTTATTAGAGGTTATTTTGTACAACATATGAGTGAACTATAAAAGAAGAGTCAAGAAAAAACACAAGCTATTTTGAATGAGAGAAAAAACATTTCCAAAGAAGACAAGTATGTCTTAACAAATTAAACTTTTTCAAAAACACCATGTTAAGAGTAAAATAAAAATAAAAATGAATTATGTAAAGTGAAAATTTTGAATTTGCAAATAAACCAGAGAAATATCTAGCATATAATTTACCAAAAATTGATATTGAAATTACAAGAGGGAGATACTGTATTAATGGACAATACAGTAAAAGAAAAGCTGGTTCATCATGATGAAGTCAATGTGGAAACGGCTGGATCAATGCATCAGTTTTTGACTCTGTAGTAGTACTGCAGCTCTATGTAAAGTCAGTATTTTTCAACCTGAAACTTGCTGGCTCTGTTCTCAAAACAATCAGTCATTTCATTTTGAAAAAAAAAAAATTGAAGAAATGTGGATGTAGCCTATGAATTTGCTTTTTCAAATGCAATCTCAAAGCAGATTAAATTTAATCAGTTTGCCTTAAAATCTCAAATTGAATCAAGCCCATTTCTCACAGTCCTGGTACTTAATATCTTTGATTTAAGATAGTTGGGAGTTAATTTCCTTAATCCACTAGAATGAGTAAAACTACATGGAATATGTCTGATAGATACATGCATTTAGTTTTTAACTGGTATCTACAAATCTATAAGATAATAATCAGCTCTTGAAAACTATTAAGTGAAAATAGTGAAATGATTTTGGGTTTTGCTATCATTTCCTTGTTGTGATCCTATTCTTGCAATCATAATTATATGGCACTAGCAAATATACAATAGGGAGAAGCATAGATCATTGGGCACTACTATCACCAAAAATAAAACTGATGTAACAATATTAGTGGTGATGATCACTAGGATTAGTGCTAATCTATAATCACAGAGGGGGGGGGGAATAGAACAAATTTAGGCACAAAATCAGGCAACCTGGACAAATACATCAGTGTCCTAACAGGATAGAAGAAGTGACTGATAAACATCACATTCTCTACCAAGGTAGTTCTTTAAAATGGGATAAATGAAAGTCTTTCAATATTCTCTGTAAAGAGAATAAACAAAGGAATATGTAGTTTATGAATTCTACAGAAAGATTTTCATATTGGCATATACACTGCGGAAGAGGGGTGCATTTTAATATCCCAATAGGATTGTGGGGAGTAATGTATCTCCTCTGGCCAAGGTGAATGCCAAAAACAGTTGAGAATTATAATAGAAGTGAACTAGGATGATGACACTTGCCAATCTGAGAACAATTCTGAAACTATGGGGCTGAATATTAGGTCTGGAGTAGTTTGTAAATCAATATCCCAGATAAGTTCTTTATGGCATTTTCAAACCCTAATAAACAGAACCTCTCCAAAAAAGACTAGAGTCTGCGGTTAGCTTTTATTAGCCAGGTTGAATTAAAATAGTGTCTGAAAATCACTGGAGCCAGAGGAAAAACAGCAATTTTAACTGGGAATTAATGAGGAAGTACCAGGCATTGGCACCCATGGAAACTAAACCTGTCTCTAAGTGTAAGGCAGCATTCTTGATGCACCTTGGATAGCTTCCAGGGTTTAAAAGTGCAAAACTCAACACCATGAAGAAGCTTAGAAATAACCTTAGGAAGGAAGACCTTGCGAGCTGTAGGAATAAAATGTGCCCCTTTGAATGGAATCTGTAGATGGTTGAAGAACTATGCTGGCCCTGATAAATGTGAAGTCCCAGATAAGGAGGACTGGAACTGTACCCCAAGATGTTTATAAGAATTCATTTGATCTATTGGGGTCCCATTAATTAGCTATTTATCCATCTTATAAACACATAGTGCAATAAAATAAAATAAAACTGGAGTCTTTTGATTTGCTACAAATTGCTGTTTAGGCAAAAGAAAGTCAATGATCTCAATGCCAGTCTCATTCCTATTGGTAAAGACAGACAAAATTGCTATGTTGTCTGCATATAGCAAAGTTTAGAACTGCATAATCTACAGCCATGGAGAGTGACAATCAGAAGACCTCAGAACTTGAATTTTTGAATTAATATACATATTGAAAAATAAGAGTACTAGAATGCCTTACCTCTATCTGGATGGAAACAACTCCAGAAAAATAACATCCAGGAAATATACATATTAAATGAGGTGTTGGAATAATTAAATGAGGTGTTGGGGCTACCCTTGAGGTGCACCCGGAGGCTCCAACTGGTCCAGAATGCGCCCGCGCAGGTGATTATGGGAGCGATATGGCGCTCACATGTAACACCTCTCCTACGCGAACTGCACTGGCTCCCGGTGGTCTTCTGAGTGCGCTTCAAGGTGTTGGTTCTTACCTTTAAAGTGCTCCATGGCTTAAGACCTGGGTACCTACGAGACCACCTTCTGCAAACAATAACCTCCCACCAACCAGTACGCTCCCACAGAGTGGGCCTCCTCAGAGAACCGTCAGTAAAGCAATGTCGGCTGGTGGTTCCCAGGAGGAGAGCCTTCTCTGTGGGCAGTGCTGTGGAGTCGGAGTCGGAGTTGAGGAGTCGGAGTCGGAGGAAATTTTGGGTACCTGGAGTCGGAGTCGGAAGTACAAAAAACTGAGGAGTCGGAGTCGGAACATTTATCTCCCGACTCCATAGCCCTGACAGTGCTGTGGAGTCGGAGTCGGAGAGTCGGAGGAAATTTTGGGTACCTGGAGTCGGAGTCGGAGTCGGAAGTACAAAAAACTGAGGAGTCGGAGTCGGAGTCGGAACATTTATCTCCCGACTCCACAGCCCTGTCTGTGGGGGCATCTGCCCTATGGAACAGGATACCCCCAGGGATACGAATGATCCCAGATCTCCGTACTTTCCGTCGTGCCCTGAAGACCTTTCTATTTCACCAAGCCGGACTGGCATAAATTTTTCAGATTATCTAAATTCTACGCTGAAGATCTTAATTGATGAGCCAAATTGGTTTAATTATTTTAAATTATTTTTATTTCACATTATATATATATCTTATTCTGACAATAAATAAATAAATAAATAAATAAATAAATAAATAAATAAATAAATAGTCTAGGTAAGAAGGAACAATATTTTATCCACTGAGGATCCTATTACCGTATTTTCCGGCGTATAAGATGACTTTTTAACACATGAAAATCTTCTCAAAAGTCAGGGGTTGTCTTATACGCCGGATGTCATTCTCCTGTAACCAGGCAGACCAGCCCGAAAGGCTCTGACGAGCCTTAAATGGCTCTGGCGATCCAAGCTCTGACGATCTGCTAATCAGGCAACTCAGCTGGGATCGCCAGAGCCATGGAGAAGGAAAAAAGTTTTCCCCCTCCAGCTTGCTTACCTTAGCTGCTAGTCGCAACGCTTGCCTTGTTTCGCTTGCCTGAATCCATTCCATCAGCAAGCAACTTCCTGCCTGCAATTAAGCAGGCAGGAAGTTGTGGACTTCAACTCCCAGAATTCCTCAGCCAGAAAAACAAAGCTGGCTGAGGAATTCTGGGAGTTGAAGTCTACAGGTCTTAAAGTTGCCAAGGTTGGAGACCCCTGTTCTATTGGGTAAGTTTTTTTCCCCTTTGGGAGCTTTAAAAAAATAGTTAATTGGGATTTTTTTTAGTTGTTCTTTTTTAGACCTAGCCATTTAAAGTTTAGGAAGTTTTAAATTTAGCTTTCATATAAAAATAAAAATAAAATAAAATAAAATAATATTTGTGCAGCTTTCTGAGATTTAGTATGTTTTTGTAGTGTTTCACTCTAACTACACAAACACACAAAATCTCACAAAGGTGTATGTGGAATTTTGTGTGTGTAAAGTGTGAAAGTTGGGTTTTTGGGCTTTTTGTGGCTGTGTGAGGTTCCTGCTTGTTACAGGGGCCATTTTGGGTCTAGCACAGCTGCTTTTACATTGTGGGTCAGCCAGTTGATGTTTTTTAATTTTTATTTGGTGTGCGTTGGAAGAGGGGTAGTCTTATATGGTGAGTATAGCCCAAACCCTATATTTTAACAGGAAAATTCGGGGGTCATCTTATATGCACAGTCCTCTTATACGCCGGAAAATATGGTAGTTTTTCCCTTATTCAGTTCCTTGGAATCAAATCAAAAGATGATTTGAAATCCACAAAAGTTGCAAAAAGGAATCCTTTGGGCTATGTATTTTTCAGTTAAATTGTGTAGTCTAAATCCCATCTGCTCCTTAGAAAGACATTTTCTCTTTAGACCTGATCCAATAATTTTAAATAAAGGTATTTTCTAAATTGCTTAAGTATGAGACAAGCTACTAAGTTTGTAATTTAAATTACAAATTTAATTTGTAATTTAAGTCCATTAAGTCCATTTCCTTTATCCTTATAGACTATGGCCCCATTAAGACAGAAAATATGCTGAGCTGGTAATATAAGTAAATAGGGCTGCCAGCACTGGCCCACCAATCTTTATTTTCCTCTAGTAATCTGGAGGGAATGAAAGCACCTCTAGGAGCTTTTCCGGGTTCTAAGTGCTACCTTTATAGACTGGCTGGAAATCATTCTTGGTTCAAAATGCTTATTGACTGAAGTTTGCTGCTGCAATATATGTATATTATTCCATCCCTAGTCAACCCATCTGAAGATTTACCTAAGTAAAGCTACTAGTGGTGCCCCAGTTTCATGAAGGGGTTAAGACCAGGAAGCACCATTTCTTCAACTCAACTCACTTGAATCTAGATTGCCCCTCCTGATAATGTTATGAGTTTTTGTACTGTGGGTTTTTATTTATTAATATTTATTGTACTTTATGTTTTGTTTTATTAGAGAACTGAGAATACTATGGATAGCTAAGAAAACAAACAGATCAACACAGAGTTTTCACTTGAGGCACAAATGACCAGGCCCAATTTTTCATATTTTGGACTCATTAGCTAGATTAGGCTCTAGCTCTTTGGAAAAAGTCTACAATGCAGAGAAAGGTGGAAGGAAACAGAAGAAGAGGATAACCAGCAGCAAGCTGGATAGAAAAAAAGAGAGCACTAAGAATGTATATGTCTATACATCTGTGTTTCTCCAATGTTTTCTTCAGCTTCTAGCATGCTACTAATGTGTGAATACACTCATATTATTAAAAAAAAATGCTGTTTTTCATTGTCTTATATAGAGCATGGAATATGGATGAGGAAAATGCAAGTTAGAGAACAAGAAGTAAATAACTGAATAGGAGAGAAAGAATTTTTATTTTATTTTTGAAAAGTAGTGATATTCCAAAATATTATTTTGTTAAAGATAATTGCCATTAATTTGGCTTCCACCACAATTTTCACAATTCAATCAAGTGCCACATGAATATAATGCTGTCTAAAACTACGTACACAAAATATTTAATATTTAAGATATCAATTCAAATAAACAAAATACACCTAGGAGATATAGTCATAAATACAGAGGGCAATGTATTTTTACTTAAAATGCAGAATTTCAGCAACTGGCAAGTTTCAAGCCAGATTAAGCTTTTTCAATATATAGATCTACCATGCATAAGATATGTCTGACAAAAAAACACAGTTCTGCCTGTCACTTGCAATGGGCTGCAATAAAACAAATCTGTGTTTGGCTGTTATCACTGTGCTGCACAATGCCACTAACACAGATTGAGGCAAGCAAGAGTTACCTTGGGAATCATCTCCCCTTAGCTTATATTGTGTATCCTCCCGGAGCATTTTGAGCAGCCCCCAAAGGTGATATGTAAACTGTAAAGCAGTGGTAATTCGTTCATTAAATAAATTTCCAGGTGGCACAGATTGTATGTACTTTATTAGCTGGCCGGTATGATTCAATTTCTTTGAATGTGATCAAAGTTTCTTTCATTGGCTGTAAAATTCATCACCATTAATTATATCAATCATTTCAACATGACTGTTTATTTTACCATTATATCATTTCTATCGAATTTTATTTTATAATATTTTGGTGATTTTTTTTTAAAAAAAAATCTGGTAAGATTTAACCTTCATGCTCTTCTAAATGGAATACTGGTCACTGAATGTAATAACGAATTGACTGATTGAAGTAATGGTGAACAGAGAAGCATGCTAATAACACCCAGAGAAAATCTGGTGCACAGAAAGTTTTGCATGCATGATGTCACTACTCAGATTACATATGGGTAACCACAGGATACAAGAGGCCCTCTGCCACTCTCCTGGCGACCTGCCCAGAGTGTGTGGAGCCCTAACTTTTTTCTATCATCCAACTGATCGGCCGTCTGCTAGATAGCGAAAATCATAGCTGCTGTTTTCCCACTGCTAATACTTCAGAAACAACAATTTTGGTAATGAATATTGAGGAGAGGACATTTTTCTTCTCTTCTCTCCCAGCAATTTTTTTTTAGAAGGATCATTATTTCTCTGCCAACATAGCAGAGAAACAGAAAATTTCCTCATACTGGCAAGGAGAAAGGAGTGTCTATCATCTCTTTTAAAGTTCCTGAGTGTGTTTGTAAGTGTATAGGTAGAAAGAGACAAAAATGGCTGTAGTGAATGGATTATGGGATGTATATTTGTATTGTGTAGCCTTTTCCAGCTGCTAGAACCCAAAAGGTTTCAAAACTCTCAAATAGTATCAATGTCACTTAGAGGGATATCACAAGGTTTCAGTTAACACTGATCTTTCTATATATGACTTGGAAGCATATCATATATATATTATTTTGCTTAATTAACACCAAGTCCACTTTTGCCCATATGACCCGCCACACACATTAAGTTCACTTACAAAGGCCTGACTTATAGATTTGCCTTTAAAAAGGTATAATTATCTGCAGATCCTTTTCACTGGGACTTCTAAAAGATATACACTGATTGTCTTCAGGGTTTTACTGATGTACTTCAATCTGCTTTTTACTGATACAATTAGTTGATAATTTAATGAAGTATCCTTTTTTTCTTCTAATGGTAATATATGTTTCAGCCAGCTTTAAAACAATAACAAAAAACAGTAAAATGCTGTTCCGAGTCTACCATTAGTATAAAGTCATAATAACAAACCACAGATGCAATAGTTCCACTTGAAAACCTCATTAAAAGTTCATCTGCAAAAGCCTTTCTGAAAATATTGCTTTTAATCCTCTCTACATGGCTGCATGAGCCTTTAATCTAAGCCTTTATTTTGTTCAAATCTCTTCTGTTATACCAGCTTCAAAAGCTTTTCTACATACTGCATATTACAGAATGTAAAAATCAGCAGGAATAAAGACAAACTATTAGAACCTGATTCAAGAACACAGACCTTAAAATCTTTACTATACATATTCTGCAATTCCCAATGTGGCTTTCAAGAGCAGCAATATATCACTGGCACCTACTTAGTAGCTACCAGGATTCTTGGACCAGATGATTCTTTTTCCATTTGCTGCACAAAGAAACATATCAGTCTCCATATTATCATAGAAAATTTAAAAAAGGAAAGATGCAACCTAGCACTTGGTTTGGAAGCAAGCCAACATCTGCCCCCTAAAAAGGAGGGGGGAGAGGTATATTTACCACCTACTTCCATTATTTATTTATTTTTTGCAGTTGTATGGAGTTTCCCTTACTTGGATCAACTCTTGAGTACTGGACAAAATAGAAAACAATTAGATGTGAAATAAAATCAAGGTTTTGTACATGCAAAAAAAAAACCACGAACTTTTACAAAAAAATATGAAAAGCATCTGGGAATGTAATCCAACACAGCTGGAGTTGGGAAAGACTAATGGTAGAGATTCCAGTAGTAGGAAAACCACAAGCGCGAAACCACACTCATTATTATTCCCTTGAAGATGCATTAAAGGACAAGTGTCATATATGAAGGGAAGAGAGTGGATAATAACATGTTTTTCTGCCTCTCGTAATACTACAATTTAAGATTCTTCCAGGAAATTCAAGGATGGGGTGGGATTTAGAACAGATAAAAAGAAATGCTTCTTTGTACAACACTTTAACAAACTGTGTAATTTATACAATAATATGAACAGAGGTGATTGAGCACAGGCTGATTGGGTTTGAAAATGAGACTTGACAACTTAATGGGGAAATAACTTTATAAAAGTCTACCAGTGATGCTAATTCTGTATTATTTTCATAATGGATAATTTATGATTCTCAGGGCTAATACAGGTAGTCCCTGACTTATGACCACAACTGGATCCAAAAATTTTGTTGCTAAGCAAGATACCCGTGTTTCTCCAAAAATAAGACCCTGCTTTATATTTTTTTGAAGTGCTTGGCCTTATTGCCTTGCGCTCAAAAGCCGGAGTGAGCTTATTATCAGGGGATGTCTTATTTTAGGAGAAACAGAGTAGTTGTTAAGTGGGTCCTTTTAAGTATGATCATTTTTGCCATGGATGTTAAGCAAATTGCTCCAGTTGGTAAGTGAATCATTAGGTCATTAAGCAAATCCAGCTTCCCCTATTGAAGCCGGCTGGGCACGTCGCAAATGGCACTCACATGACCCTGGGAGGGGTTGTAAATTGTAAATACATGCTGGTTGCCAAGCACCCAAATTTTCATCACGTGACCTTAGGGATGTTGCAATGATCGTAAGGGTGTGAACCAGTCATAGTTCATTTCTTTCAGTGCTGTTGTAACTTTGGTCGCTAAACGAATGGTTGTAGGTTGAGGACTGCCTGTAACTGAATGACAAAATGCTACTTTACTTGTGTCCTGCCTGGGAGCTTCCCAGAGAGGCCTCTGGAAAACCACTGGTCTCCGGTGCTCTTATGTACTTCCTGTGGAAGGAAGCAGAGCAAATGAACGAGACAGTCATTCAGAACAATACCATCCACATTTAAAACCTCTAGACCAAAGATGGGCAATCTGCATTCCAGAGCAACATGTGGGAATTGCAAAATTACTTCTTCTATGCCATTGTAAAGCTTTGTGACCCCTATCCTCTTTTGCATCTGAATACTCTAATTCCAAATTAATGTAATCTTGTACAAATCTGGCTATTCATGTCATCTCTTGCTCAATAACAATAAAAACAAATCCCTTTTTATGCCTCAATACTCCTCACGTGTAAAATGGGTAGTAAATGAAAAATCCTTTCAATTCTATAGATGAACAGTTCCATCAAGACAGACATTGTGTGCAATTGTTAATCACAAAGAACATTACTTGGCCAGGCAGGAATTCAAGAAAAATGCTCTCCTTAGAAACCTGACAAATATCAAGTGACCCCAATTCTCTGTCATGTCATGTTCACTGTGATTATCTGCTAGGATCCTGGAAGCTTCAGACAAACATTGATTCAAAGAATGTTATTCACAGTTAGAAGGATGGAGATTTTCATCATTATTGGAGGTAAATATTTGCCCTGTCAAATAACATTCAGAACAAATATAAGTTTAAGAGAGAAAGCAGCAGAGAAATTGTTTCTGGTGAACTGCAAGGAAAACAGACCAAGTAATATAAATTCATCTGTCAGTGTAAAATGGAACAGGATGGATCTAACATCCCATTCTATCTTCTCCTGTAGGTAATTACTGGCCACACAACTTTTGCTGAATAACACTAGAGCCATTCTTTCAAAAATTATATTTTCTATGTGTCATGAAATAATAAGAGAGTTAATTAGGTCTAGTGGTTAAGGCACCAGGCTAGAGAATAGGAGAACATCAATTCTAGTCCCACCTTTGCCATGAAAATCAGCTGGGAATGCCCAGCCAATTATGATGCATTCAATGAACCCTAGTTAAACCAATCATGGCTTAATGAAATATGAATTCTAGGTCACAGACTGGTAGTGATTCTTCAATGTTTTAGGCAACAATTTTTTCCAGCCACATCTTAAAACCACAGGTATTGAATCGGGTATCATTTGTATAAAGGCATGTACTTGAACTATGTATTTTCCTCCACATAATTGGAAAGATTCACAAGGGCCGTAGAATGCATCCTTTAGTTCAGTACAGGAATCCACATAACATTTATTTGGTTTTACTTTGCCAAACCTATATATCTTTTGATGTTATACTGCCCACATCTAAACATTCCTACAACTAATCAACCACCACTTGATATAACTTGCATTATTTATTTCAGGGCTTGGAATCTTTATTCTAAATACAATTACACCATGCTGGTTA